GGAGACAAAGGGGTGGCAGAGAAAGAACAAAAAGCAAAACATTTCCTTAGTAGTTCCTAATATTACCTAGAGATTTTGCAATGACAGGAATCCCTGTGTTTGCAGGATTCTTTTGCTCACTGTGACACAGTGGTTGGAGTCATACAAATAAGTACTTGGAAAAAAGATGGGTAGCAGCATTCAGATTTTATTTGAATCTTGATTCTGTGTCCCACATTTTACTGTTGGCAACTCTTACGCTCCTCACGTTGAGCACCCGTGATGTCAGCTGTTTCACCTTTCCGTTTTAGTCAGTGCATATGGACACTGAGCAAACTCCATAGCACCATCTTGTGAAAAATACTCAACTGCAAGCTGTGGCGGGGTCCACCAGCATTATCTCAGGCCACACAAATCCAGGGCTTTGATCATCCCATCAACTGCTTGCAGCCAGGCCCCAGTTACTGAATTGTCAGCATCTATGTATTCACATAGCTCATTAAAAGCAAACAGTGATTCTACCTTGGGCACGCTCATGCACACACACCCCACCCCGCCCCCCAGTTATTTGTATTGCAGTAGCACCTAGAGGCCACAACTAAGAATAAGCACTGCGTGCATTCAAATGCACAAAGTGACCCCGACCCAAGGATCTTACAATCTAAGCATACGTTGAGACAAAAGGTGGACGCAAACCAAACCAGATTCAGAGAGAAGGGGGAAAAGTACACTGAATTCATTTTTAAGTATGTCTTATCCTCTGGGGCAGCATGGTAGGTTGTCCCATTATAAATCGTTAATAGCGATACTTGTGTTAGATAATTTACGGTAGCAGCTCTTAGATCCATTTCTAGTAGTAATTTTAACACTTCTGTGGTGCTTTTTATCCTTAAATCTCAAAGCACTGTACCCCATCTTTGCAATCATAGGCACCGGCTTCCTCTGGGCCTGCCCAACCCCTGGCTCGCCCTGCCTCTACCCCCAGGCCCTGCCCTCACCCCGCCTCTTCCCCATAGCGTGCCCCATCCCTGCTCCTCCCCCTTCCTCCCAGAGCCTCCTGCTCTCCGCAAAACACCGGATTGCAGTGGGCGGGAGGCACTGGGAGGGAGGGGGAGGAGCTGACTGGCGGGGCTGCCAGCAGACAGGAGGCGCGGGGGGGAGGGGACGGGGGGACCTCGGCTGCCAGTGGGTGCTAAGCATCAGCCCTGGAGCACCCATGGAGTCGGCACCCATGTTTGTAATATTATCCCTATTTTACAGATGAGAAAACAGACAGATTAATTCACTTGCTGAAGATCACACAGTTGCAGAGCTGGGATGAATAGCCCTATGCTTGGTCCACTAGAACACAGATGTCCCTGGCATTCAAGATTAAAGGTAATTCCAGTATCCCATGCCGGAAGCCACGAGATGGTGAGAAGGATAAAGTTCAAGGATTAAGAGATGAAAGGAAAAATTACAAGAAGGTGAATGAGTTAGAATAGTGAAGTTGTGCTGTCTACTCATCCTACCAGAAGTACTGCCTCTAGCAAAGCAGATTCAAGAATTGAGAAGAAGTGACAGGAACATCTGAAAGTATTCACTGTTCCAAAGGAATTCAGTGTTAAGCTTAAATGGGACAGATCAGCAGGCATGTTAGCTAGGGATGGACTGATTGAGAAGGAACACCAGAACAGCTCAGGAAAGCCAGACGCTGCATCAGGGAAGGGTGTTCACCCCTTTGCTGCGTGAACAGGCACCCACTATCGTCTAAAGAGATGTGTCTTCTTTTATTATTTTTAAGATTAGTAGTTTCTCTCAATCCTTATTCAAGGACAGACATTTCTCAGTTTAAGATCTTTAAAACCTCAAGCCTTTGGAAACCCAGGCAGGAGCAATTTAGAACATTTAGCATGAGGCAGGAAAAAATAAAATAAAATAAAAATATGAATGTGATTACTTGCTTTTCCCACCTGTGGCTGAGATCTCGCTGAAGTGTCTTATTGGCCTAAAAAAAGGTGTAGGTTTAGTTATAAAGTTAGCACTTCATTACTTTGACTTATAACCCTACAAATAAACACTGTCAGAGTCCAGCGAGCCTTGTAGTATGGACAGTATCTTCTTGGTTAAGTGTCTACAGCAGGTTTTACACAGCATGCACTTCACCATCACCTCCTCAAGACAGATATTTTAGGGTTTCCTGTACCAGAGTGCCCTCTGCTGAATTGGAAAAGTGACATCTAAGTTCTGCATTACCCCATGAAAGCTACATGGAAGGGGCAGGGATGAGACAGACACTGGGATATTGTCCATTTAATATAATTCTCCACTGGTAGGAGAAAGCTCTTTTTCTACTACTCAAAGTAATGTCAAGAGGTTGGCATATTATTGCTCTTTTAAACCCCTTTCACTGAAGAGGGTGATCTCTGCTTATGGCTCCGAGCAGGCGTTATGATGCAGCAACGGAAGCCACTCTGCAGGAATGGCATCTCAAGGATCCAGTCCTATTCACCTGCTCACACGATAAAAGATAAAAACACCCTATCACCTGTGGGTGAACAAGTGATCACTCTTTATCTGATTTATCAATCCTCATCCTCAAAGGAAACCAGCACATTTTCAAAAGGTGAGCCTGGGAGCTTAAATTCATTAGTCTGCAGACACTAAAAAAAATCATGAATTGAACAGAGACACTGGATTTATGGCCTATTACAATAATCTGTAACCCACTAACCCCCTCTTTTTGTCGTATGACTGAGGAGGTGCTAATGAGCTACTCTACCTTGTATGGTCCCTGACAATATGTGCTAACTACTTATGCTAAACAATACTTCCCCCATCAGCAATCTGTCCCACCTTGCATTTTGCTGTGACTGGAGTATTTTTCCCAGACCTGAAGAAGAGCTCTGTGTAGCTCAAAAGTTCATCTCTCTCACCAAAAGAAGTTGGTCAATAAAAGATACTACCTCACCCAACTTGTCTCTTGCTTACATGAGTCATCCTATTGGTTTAAATGAAACTATCCACATAGAGGTGGATCTGGATTTCAAACCAAGATTTCAATGCCAATTTATGTCAACATCTTGGCAACAGAGGGACACCGCATTTGTGATAAAACACCACAGATTATTTCATTAAAATGGGTTAACTCATTAGAAACAACAACTTTCTGGAAGTAAGCCCTGGTCTACACTACAGAGATAGGTCGACGTAAGGTAGCTTATGTGGATCTAACTCAGTAAGCGTCTACACTAAAATGCAGCTCCCACCAATGTAACTTGCCCACTGCACCAAATTAATAAGGCCACGTCTACACTAGCAAGCTTACAGTAGCACAGCTGTACTGATGCAGCTGTACCGCTATAAGAGCGCTCAAGTAGCTGCTCTACGCCGACGGGAGAGAGCTTTCCCATCGACATAATTAAACCATCTCCAATGAGCGGCAGTAGCTATGTCGGCAGGAGGGCATCTCCTGCAGACATAGCGCTGTCTGCACTGGTGTGTCTGCCGGTGTAACCTATGTTGCTCAGTGGGGTGTTTTTTTCACATCCCTGAGCGACATAAGTTATACTGACAAAACTGCTAGTGTAGACATAGCCTCACTCCAACTCTGTGAGAGGCGTAGTGCTTAAGTCCATGTAGTTAGGTCAACGTGGTCTCAGTGCAGACACAGCATTGCTTCCATCGACTGCGGTTGCCTTTCAGAAGCCATCCCACAGTGCTCCGCCCTGACAGTTAACTAGGTGCACGCACTCCTGGTAAGGACACTCACTGCCAGCGCAAAGAGTAGTTAATTACAGTGGCGGCTGTTAGTCGAGGTAACTGAGGTCGACTTAATTTTGTAGTGGAAACTTGCCCTAAGATTTCGCTTCCAAGAAGTTGCGGGCACAAGGTTAGTCACTGGAGTACATTTCTGTCTCTTTCACCAAAAGAAGTTGGTGAAAGGAGAGCAGCCATGAGAACAGTTTCTGATGTTAGGGACTTGGAAAGAATTGTCACAGTAAGTATTTATACATGTTTGCTATAGAAAAACAAGAATAGCTTTATCATGCAAGTTAACACTCCCATATTATTTACAACATTGTTAGCGTAAACCCTGAAGTTTGGTTTGGTTTAATTTTTTTTGGGGGGTGGGAGGGAGGTAAAGTATGGGGAAGATAGGAATTTAGGAGTTCCTGGAGGACATTCTACAGTGTCAGGGGAAATGTCACTGAGAATTTAAATAGCCTTCTGTGAAAGGACTAGAACTGCACAAAGACAACCCAATTTAACCACACAACTATCCAAGCTGAAGATGAAGCTTAATTCCATAGCTGAGCAGCCAGCAGTTTAGTATGGCATGGAATATCTGCACAAGAGGTGTACATTTTTAAAATGATGGGCTTGTGAAGTTCATTATACAAGAGGTTTATGTTCCTTTCTCTGTTACAGAAAAAACATCAAGAGGACTAAGGATCAAAATATGGGAGCCATTCTTCTTTTACTAATCAAAGGAGCCAGAAGCTCCTTTGTCTCCTCATTTAAGCCCAGCAGCTTGTCTGATTAAGACTAAAATGGACTTCAGCAGACAAATATTCTGGCTAAATGCCTCTTTTAAGAACCAAAGATAGAAATAATTAAGCTAAATGCTTTTGTTTAGCCAACATTTCCTTGCCAAGTAGAGTAGAAGGAAGGGCAGGGAAGTGTTCCTTATAGGATCATTCCTTGTAAAGTGAGGTAAATAAATACACAGAGACTGGCTGAAAATAGCCTCTTCCACTGGACATAGCCAGCACCACTGATTTAACCTCTGGTTGCCTGACTTTCAAACCTAGATCGCTAAAACAAAAAACTGCTTCTGTATCTAATGACTTCAGCACTTCTGAAAGGCCTCAGAGTGATTTTCTTGGCTTTAATTTATAATAAAAGCAACACCTCGTCACCTCTACCCCCCCCCATTATCTTGTGTGACCCCCTGTAGGTTGAAACCCATCGGTGGAAAAAAAATCACTGCCCTAAACCATCAGGACCCCAGAAGCCACATATTGTATACCACGACTCACCATACTACTGGAAATAGGATCACTCCACAACACAGTAGGTCTACCAGGAATAGAATTTGTTTCCACAGCCCATGGTCAGTTGTTGCCTCTTCGATGATGTATGCCACATTTGCCAGGACCTACAGGACAACAAGATATTAACACTGCTTCACAGGACCACTCTACAAAAAGACTAGAAGCGGCATCATGGGGCTCTACTTTCGTCTCTCAGCGACTCCAGATCAAGTGCACCCATTTTACATGGGAAAAGTTGTGGTTGGTTGGGTTTTTTTGGCTGCCAGCTCTGCAAACTCAGCCTGTCCTCACAGAAAGAGCCCACACGGACACTCATGAATCAACACCTGTAATTACACTCAGCAACTTCACTGCACCCTTTTGTCTAAAAGTCATATGCTCAGTGACACCTTCTAAGGATTTTCACAGGTGTACCTGATTGAACATAATTTCTGCTGATATATAAGAATAAATAGAATCCTTGTTACTCTTTACTTGTGCTGATCTATAGGGCCAATAGGAATAAGAAATAGCAAACAGCTCCTAGGCCTCTGTTATTGCTCCTCACTTTTCCAAAGGAACAGAATAAAAACACATAACATGTATCAGTTTTACTGCTCCCCACAGAGTTCTATACAGCTGCAGTGAAACCAACCAGCATCTTGTTAGTTTCACTCTGTTGCTGCTGCTTGGAAAAAGCTATAGGCAGGAGCAGAAATTGGAGCCATTTATCTGAAGACACAGGCAGACCATACACCATCAGTTTACATGTGCAGTGTTGTCTTAGCTTAGATTTTTAGCCCTTACAGGGTCTCTCTTTTGAGAAAAACAATGAGGAGTCCAGTGGCACCTTAAAGACTAACAAATTTATTTGGGCATAAGCTTTCATGGTTCAATAACCCACTTCAACTAAGAATACAGACTAACACGGCTTCCCCTCTGATACTCTTTTTTGAGTATAACTTCTGTAGAAACTGATCGCCACTGGCAAGTATGGTGGCTGAAGCTAAGAAGCTAAGCCATTTTAGATTTAAGTGGCTTAAGTGTCCTCCAGGAGGACTGGGAAAAATCAGCAATATCTCTGGTGTGGTTAAAGGCAGTAGCAACACACATGGAATATACCTAGAATACAAATTCAAGCAAGGCTTTATTGGAGGTGTTACAGTGACTGTTCAAGAGAATTCTGACTCAATGAACAATCTCAGAACAGGAGTATGCAGGCACTCTCTAGTATACTTACAGGTAAGTGATGTAATAGACAACAGCCCAGCCTTCAATGGAAAATCCTTGACAGGAAACGTAGTGGTAGTCAAATCTGGAAGCAGAGAATACAAGAAGTCATGTCATAAAACTCCTTCACCAACACTGCAAACCCTGTTAGATCCACCCTGTGATGGCCTTTTCAACTCTTCTGTATCCCAGAGAGCACCTACCATCAACTCTCAGTAGTTTTAGATTAATTTTTACTAGGCTAGAACAAACTTGCCATTTTCCATTTATAATGATGTCTTAGCAGATCTCCACCTAAGTGTTACCAGAATGTACAGAAGTATACAAGCATTAACAATTACTCTTACGAGAGTACCCCTTTTCATCCCCCCAACTTCGCTTATATTTAAAGATTATCACTTATATTCAGGATTAAATATCAGTTTTTCTATTGTTCCAGTTAGGCTGTATTAAACGACTAGCCTTTTCTATTTTTACCTTCACCAGCAGCCAGGTTCAAAGTTGTTAGACTCCAAAGATAGTCATTACTTGGCAAGCTTAGAGTGATTATCCCAGCATGCAATTAAAAGTGGACATTGCGGTAGGCATCAGCATAGGAGGATTAAATCCCCACCACTACCCTCACTGAAGAGACCCTTCCAATGAGAAGGCAAAGTCTAAATATAGTTTATTACCAGGTGACGCTAGATAGTCTTTGTGTTAATGCTTCTAATGTTAGAAGAGTTATGGCATGGCTAGATATACACACTGATTTCTAGTGTAGCGGCCCCCAAATTACCTTGCTTTATGGACACTCAGGGTATTTATTCATTTCATTCCCATAAAGCTGAAGAAACTATAACCTAAGAGTCCAAGGTGGATCCAGATGGCTAAACGTTTTTAAGATTTACCTAGCATGTGGTTTTAAAACACACTACTGCATTCAGGATAACATCTTGTGGGCAATGGTAACAAACTGGCAAGCACCTGCAACGTGAAATGTAAGTTCACTTACAGGTAAGTCATGAGAGATAGTTGAGGCAATGGCTAGAAGGAAAATCTGTATACTATATGGTGTGGAGAAAAGAGTAAAATCTTGACAGATTTTAAATTTTTGGGTCTGGAGGAAAAAGAAAATGAATGGGGTAGCTGTCATCGTAAGCCCAGAGACTGGTAAGCGTGTCATGAGGGTAGAAAGAAGAGGAGACCAACTGATAGTGTGACTGAGGACAGACTGTAAGGTTATATGTGTGATGTCAGCATATGCTCCGCAACAAGGTAGACCTTTGGAAGAGAAGGAGAGCTTTAGAAATGAGCTAGCAGAGTTGACAGTTATGGTCGAGTGTAACATCTTTGTAGTGGTTGGTGGGGATTTAAATTTCCATGTTCATGAAGGGAACACAGTAGGAGTGGTGTGTAATTCGGCTTTTGTAAAAGAAATGCTGAAGGAGAGAAGTGAGTTGAGTGGTATTCAATGGGTTAGAAAAAGACTCTCACAGGGTGACATATTACAATGGGAAAAAGTAAAGCCTAGATGGTCTACAGTTTGATAAAAAGAACATATGAAAATGGTAAAAGATGTAAAGGTTATAGCGAGTGACTGTGTGGCAGAATATGATATGGTGTGAACAGCTAAAATCCAACTGCAACCTAAGAAAACAGAAGAGATGAAATTGCACTGGTAGTTATGTATGTGGGGGTAACAATACATGGAAGTCTGGAGAGTTTTGAGGTGTTGGTGGAATTGAGACAAGGCAATGTCCTGAGCACTACTCTTCACCTTACTTACAGAGTTAATTAGTAAGAGAACCAAACCTGTAGAGACACAGAAAACAAACGTGTGCTGAAGATTTGGCCCTTTTGGCTGACAGCACCTATACATACAAAACAGTGGGATCTATATTAGCTGTTACTACTTGTAGTGGGGTGGCTGCCCCACTCCTATCCTAGATGGGGCTTCAGCAGGCCAGGGAGGTGGTGCAGGTGGGCAGCCAATCAGAGAAGGCCTGCTAGGGAGCCAATCAGAGGCTGAGTTAGAGACAGCCAATCAGAGCCAGACTCAGCCATATATAAAGGCTACCTAGGAAGGGAGCGGGTAGTCTCTCCTTGGTGGTCAAGGGAGGAGGACTGGCTCCTGGGCTGAAAGGTAGCACCTTGGACAGAGCAGTGCTGGAGAAGGGCAGAAGGAGCTGAGAAGCTCCGGCCAAGGAAAACCCCAGGCTGCCGGCCTAGCTGCCAAGGGCTGGGCAGGTGCACAGTGCCGAAGGGGAAGCGGCCCAGGGACAATAGCAGGGCAAGGGGAGAGAAGGAGGGCAGAGAGGCTGCTGCTAGAGGGTCCCTGGGTCGGGACCCAGAGTAGTGGGTGGGCCTAGGTCCCCCCCATTCCCTTTGTGCTACACCTGGCTGAAGAGAAGCGTGGCCTGATCCAGGCAATGGCTGGTCCCTGCGATAAGGGGCTAGAGACTTAGAGGCTGCAGCCGGCCACTACAACAGGTGCAGATCGTGGACTGCTCGTAACACCAAACCCTCGGAAGAGGGTGAGACGGGAGCAGTGGGCACTGTTGGAGGGCAGTGTCCTGAAGAGGATGCTGCTGAGCGGGAAGCAACGAGGGTCCCCAAAGCAGCAGAGCAGACAAAGGGCAAGGCACCACGCAAAAAAGGTGCTCCATGACTGGACAGAGTTAATTCCCGGAGCAACCAGTGGGAGGTGCCAGCGGTGGTGAGTCCTAACCCCGTCACACTACTCAAAGATCTTAAGAGTCACTGTGGATTGTTCTTTGAAAACATGTGCTCAATGTGCAGCAGCAGTCAAAAAAGCTGCCAGAATGTTAGGCCCCATTAGGAAAGGGTTAGATAATAAGACAGAAAACATCATAATGCCACTGTGGTATCCACACCTCGACTACTGTGTCCAGTTATGGTTGCCCCAACTCAAAAAAAGATATTAGAATCAGAAAAAGTACCGAGAAGGGGGAAAACAAAACAACAACAAAAACCACCCCGATTAGGGGTATGGAACACCTTTCATACAAGGAGAGGTTAAAAAGACTGGGACTTTTCAGCTTAGAAAAGAGGTGGCTAAGGGAAGGGGGGGCATGACAGGTCTAAAAAATCATGAATAGTGTGGAAAAACGCATAGGGACGTGTTATTTATCCCTTCACATAATACAAGAACTAGGGACCACCCAATTAAATTAATAGGCAGCAGGCTTAAAACACACATAAGAAAGTACTTCTTTACACAATGCATAATGAACCTGGGGAATTCATTGTCCGTGGAAGCTGAGGCGGCCAGTAGATCCCTGGCCATCAAAATCACTCAAATGTATGTAGAAATAATATTTAAGGAGTTATGTACATATACTGAAAGTTATGTTTTGGAGTTAAGGTAGGTCACCTGGAGGTTACATACCTCGGAGCTGTTCCCTTTAGGCAAGAGGCTCGTGACATCTATCTCCCTGTCTGACCATTTGCGTATTGTATGCCTGACAATGTATGTCTATTGACATTCTGTGCATGTAAGTGCAAACTGAGAGACTGCGAAATCTACAAGAGACAAAATCTACAGGAATCAATTAATTGCCGGGGTGTGTCCATCCTGTTTATGAATAAAGACAAAGGATTAGTCTGGTATATGTAGGAGTGCAAAGAGACATACGGACTCCTCCATCAAGGAGTGTGCATGTCTCATGAAAGAAGGGCCACCACCTCTGTTACTGTAAAGTGCTGCAGGGATTTGGAGTGAGCAATATTTTATTAGACAGAGTATCTGGTTAATTAAGTCCAGGCTCAAGAATGCATGTTATGATTTTATTTCATATGTAACCATTTGCTTCCAATACTTCTATGTGAATCTCTGTGCTTTGTTATATAAACTTACACTTCATTTCAGTATAAACATATCTAAGTGCTGTGAGTTAGGCACAGCAGTGAACTGAGGTGAAAGTGGTAAGCTGGGGTGTACTGTTTCTTTGGAAGCAGTAAACCTGCAGGTCCTGAGAGGGTCCAGTGGATCAGGAGCTGGACACTCCAGGGAGAAGTTTAGAGGGCTCAGGGTTGGAGTGTGCCTGTCGCTAACCTGTAGAGAGACAGCGGGGCCTACAAGGCCTAGAGGGGAGGGCTTGTGTTGCCTGTGGGCAGTGGAATTGGGGAGCTGACCCACAACAGGCACAGACAAGGCTTCCTCATGCGAGGGCAGGCTGGTAGCGAGGTGCCTTGCAACTCTAGGTACCTTCGGGAAGCGTTACAGAGAAGAATGATCAACAAAGAAAGCATGGGAGGAAGAGGACAGCAAGAAAGGATGTGGAAGACAGAGGACACGATGGAAAGACTGTCGAGAAGTTTGCAGAGAAAAGAAGTGGAACTCCAAGACCTATGAACCCATGCTATGGACCAGACGGAGAGGCAAAGAATCATGGGCAGTTCTGACCCCTTGTAAACAGGAAAAGGAGTCGAAGTGAAGATGTGCACGACCACCCCATCCTGATATACCTGACTGCAGCTACATCACTTAGGACAGTGACTTCATCAGCTCTACTAGGCTCAATCAAACTTTAGAACTGGAAGGAAACCCAAAACTTCTGCAGCAGTGGTGTTGAGTCATTAGGCAGCAATCTTTGCTTGATGCCTATAAGAAAAGGAACACCCACCTTTGCACCAACACACAACATTAATATCTTGGCCAACTGTGGTCTTTAGCATTCTCATGGTTCCAAGAACAGGAAGGCTAGTTCTCTCTCCTAATCAAATTTCAATGTAAAGTTTATGCTCTGTGGCTGCTGAGTATCCCCTGTAGTTTTAATGATTAACATATACCATGCTTCTCCTTTTAAGAAACACTGCACAAAATTGTTGACACAGAATTCTTGACATGTTCCACTCCAGAGGAAGTTGCATTTCAGTAATGGGAGAAATGATCCATATATAGATAATTTGGAAAGTGTTTTGGAATCTCAGCAGGGAATATGCCATTTCCCAGATATACCTTGCCCTGCTTTCCACTTGTTCCACTTCCCCCATATGGGAGAAACAAATAGAAAATATTTTATATTTACCACACGGAACATCAAGGACAGAGACTTTGACAGGGAGGGCTGCCATTAGCCAGTGACTCAAACATTCCTGTAAACACAAGGAGGCAGAAGTAGCATAAGCCAAGAGTTCCATGTAGGCACATTAAAAAAATGCCCCTTGAGATACCGTATCATATACGGACACATTCTGTCTTGGGCTTATAAACCAAGCTTCCTGTTAAGGCACCATTCTCTTCAATAAATGTTTCCGTCTGAAGTAAAGATGAATGTGTGTATTTAAAATGGGAATGCTGTAAGACTATATTTTGCATAAGGATCATAACTGACTTTAGAAATTCAAGAGACAAGGTGGGTGAGAATCTTTTATTAGATCAACTTCTGTCAGAGAGAGCGCAAGCGAGCGAGAATGAACAGAACTTGGTCCAATAAAAAGTACTGTCTGGGACTGACACGGCTATACCACCACTACATACAACCTTAGAAATTCACGTTAGTTTCCGTGCAGCTCAGTTCACTCAGCTAACAAATTCATAGTTCTTTGCATTTTGAAGTCATTTTGTTTCTTTTGGGAACTTTGTATCCTGAAGTGGTACCTCTAGAGCAGCAGTGTCCAATAGAAATTCAATGCTAGCCACACTGCTAGCTGGTTTTGAATTTTTCTTATTAGCCACATTATAAAAAAGCCACATGCATTAGCCACAATTCAATAGCCTAATAGTCACATTGGCTAGTGGTGAACATATTGGACACCGCTGCTCTAGAGTGCCCATTGAGCTACAAGAGTATCCACTAGCTGTCAGTAAAAGCAGTCCCTACAGTTACCATTTCCAATTAAGCGCTTTCAGCAAATCAAATGACCTTCAGGAATAAAAACAAAATTTTGGTACGCTTTATATTTAGAAGTTTTTTAAGCATGCAAGACTGTCTTACTGTAACAAAAAAAATGGATGAATCAAGTTCTATTGGGAGATGGGAGGCCAAGGGAAGGCAAGAGGAGGAGAACAGTCAAAACTGTTCTCCAGCAGAGACCAACATAAGCCAGGTTCACACTTGTCATTATGCTGTAGAAAATCAGTTTACCTGCATTTACGAAGGATGTGGATCCACACGGTCCCAGAAAGAAAGAGGAGGAAAGCCATAGAAATGTAGAGTTTTGGAAGTGGGATCTCACCCGCTGAGAGGTAACTTTCAGGGTTCTTTTCCTTGATCTCTGTCTGATTAGAGAAGTGTCAGATGTGTAGCTGAGAGAGACCTTTGACTATTGCTATTTGCTTAATTATTGCAATTCACAATCACAGATACACAAGCTTAGAATCCATATTCCTAAAGTAATAGTGCTTTCCACCCAAGGAGTCCCAGAATACTGCATACTAAACACACAGGAATCACTTTTTTGAAATGCAGCTGCTGCTTAATCATGAACAGCAACTTTATACAATAAGAGGACAGGAACGGAAGATGCCTTCTGCTGGCTTGAATTCTACAGGGTAATTCAGGGAGGCAGAATGTAACTCCCTCCAAGAAAAACTTATTACAAGCAGTGAACTGTAGGGTCTGTCCATACTTGAATCAGACACACTAGCCAGAGCCTTGTTTAAATAAGGAGCATAGCTCAGATTCTAATGTGTACGAGCCTTCACAAAGATTCATAACCAACACTTAAAATCTCTTACAAGTGTTACAATAGATTTCTTCTCCTGTCAGGGGGAAGGAAGCACTTTCCTACTGCAATTCTACAGCAAGTGAAACCAAGTTTTCACATTAACTGAACTCTTCAAGTCAGTAACTCAAGTGCTTTTTAAAAAGCTGGAATTTGTTCAGATTGTGTTTAAAAAGCCCTACTGAAGCTAGTGCTAACAGACATAAAAAAGCAAAACACCAGTTAAATCAACTTGGATCTTCACATAACCCCACTCACTACCACCTTCAACTCGAGTCTCATTTCCTCTCCTACCCATCCCCTCGGTGAAAGCAACCGGATCTCATTCTTGCAGATTATAAAGGTGCAGCTCAGGGAAGCTTTGGCTGCCAAGTTCTTCTATTTTCTGGAACACCTACTATAATACTCTGCTATTCAGATGCTCCCTTCAGTGATGTGTAGTGAAGATGTAGCCTGTGTTAAGCTAGAAAGACAGAACACGTAGAAATTCAAGAAGGCTGATAATGAAGATTGAGACAGTGCCCTTAACGTCTGCCATTTTGTAAAGAAAAGGGATTTGATGAGAGAGGAGGAGAAGCACACACCACTGCGTTGGCTCTCCCTGATGGAGTCTTTGCATCTTCATCCACTTCTTTCTGGCACTATGTTTTATTCCTTAAATTCTTCCTATTACACCACAGTTGATACTAAAACTACTTCCTTAGAGGATGCCACTGCCATGCAACAAGACATTAGAAGGATATGTTGGATACAGCTGTGTCTCCCCACCCCAACTTCCACCCTGCCTCCCCCAGCAATCTGTGCAGAGCACGTGAGTTGGTGCTCCTATGGTGAAGTCTCATGCATCATTTCACGCTAATGACCAAGCAAATGCAACAGCTCTAAGTTATGTTTTACACATGATACTCACATCAAGGCTAAACAGGAGCTGATCACTGGTCTGAACATCACTGCCAACACGTTTGTGGAAGCAAAGTCTATATAGACCTTTGTTTTCAGAGCTGATATTAAAATAAAACAAAAAATAAGAACAAGGAAAGTCAGCATATTTATACCTTAGAAAAGCATTACTCTGCTGTAAAACAATCTCCATGGAAATATGAAAAGTCCTTGACATTTAGGATCATACTGCCCCTTTTCCATACCTATACAGTGACAAAGTTAGCAAGATGCCACTGTTTGTAAGTCTTAAAGAAGCTCAAATAAACTGCATCCCTACACTTAATTCCTTGACTATGCATTCTGGTAAATCCAGCACTATTAGATACAGGAATCATAGCATTTCAATAGATTATTTTGTGTGACATGGTACAATGTCCTACGAATGACAGGCGGAGCCAGAAGATTAGAACTGAGTACGATGTGAACAACTTTTAAGGCTAAACCACAAACTCAGTCACATGCCACAAAATCTGTTTTATCAGAAGTAGCCAGCAGTTAAGTTTTAGACAAAGCAAGTAAGAGCACTGAAGTGAGAAAGTTTGTTAATCTGGTCTGACCCAGAAAATCTACAACTTTGAGTATTGGTGTCACACTGCCAACCTACCATTAATCAAAGTTTTTTCTATATTTTTGTATCCCTCATTACAGAAAGCAACATTTATTACATTCAAACTAGTACACTGTAAGGAGCACCATGTGAATGAGTGGTTTACAAGACATGCTTCTACATCTTATAAGGAACAAATCTTTTACAGCTTACTCCCCAAAAGAAGAATCCATCTAAAAAATGGTATGTGCTATCAAGAGGCATCTTTATTAACAGAATGGGAGATTATGAAAGGCGGCAGTGGATTTATATTTTTCAGCGCGTGCTACAGTGAAGGGAAAAAGTTTATGGAAGAGCTACTGACAGAAATCTTACCTGGAATGAAACAGTTCCTTTATCTTTACAAAAACGGTGCACTTGCTCCATTACATTCTGGGGAAGAACAGTAAAAAAAAATGCTACAAGTGGCTTCTAACAAGTAAATACTGCAGTTGTCATGAAATCAGAAATACATGATGTACTTCGCATGACTTACACGTAGGGCCCTTCGTTTTCAGTTTTTATTTTATTTAATTTTTCCCAGGAATTGATCATAATTTATTACCACAACAACAAAAACAGGTGAAAAATCAGTGCAAAAAACTATTAATTTTACTGGGTAAATATTAGGGTTCATTTTGGTGGACAGAAAGACAGGGGGGAACGTATTCAGTAGATTAATGATTTGAATTCCATTCATCAATGTGGTTTGCTGCAGAACTAAAACAGAACTCAAAACACATTGCCAGCTCTGAGTTTAATAAAACAATACATCTCTAATCCCCAAATAAAACTTTTCATTACAAAAAACAGTTTACTGTTGTAGACTTAGAACTATTAGCCTAAAAATATTTACATTTAATAATTGGGCCACACTCAGTGTATGTGCTGTGTATGCAGCACATACACTCAACTTCATCCTTTTCTCCTGTTTTTGTTTTTTTTAAATTTTCAAATACTTCCTTGTGTTCTGAAACGTATTCTGACAGATTTTTTGTTTTCTTCTTGTTTTACGGTGTCAAATTTTTAAACCTTTCAAGCTGTTAACAGATAAATGTATGTGGTAAGCATGAAATTCATCAGTATACTTCAGAGCTTGCATGCCTGTTTGTTTATTGTGTGTATTTTCTAGACTAATACATAGCCTTACTTCAAAAGGCAGCTTTGCATATACACACAGACTAATGTATTATCGCAATACATATATCTCATGCAATGTATTATATTTTCCTCATAAAACAAGTTATTTTTATATATTTGAATGATACAAAAGATGAAAATCAGAAAAAAATGAATACTTTTTGTAAAATCCAGGAATTTTGTGTAAAAAAAAATCGGTTTAAACTGAAAACAAAGGGGCTTACTTATACCCCCACACTGATCAATACACGCACTTTCCACTCCAGCTTGTGTCTGAAAGATCCTCCCCACCCCTTCCCATTGCTAATCCTGAAAACAACTAGTTTCAGTCTTACCTGAGATGCTGTTATGCTTCTTTTGGACTTGTCACCTAGAGACTAGAGTGTTCAGAGCAAATTCAGACACTTTGAATTCAGAAATTTGCAAGCATGCTGCATTTCCTTCTGTTTTGTGCCTGCCATTATACTACCCAGTTTTAATCTTGTCTACCTACCAGCTTCCTAGCAGATTTAAAATCCCAAAGGCAAATCTTTGACACCACACACCATCATCATCTGAAGATCAACACAGCATTGGATTTCCCAGACTCATGTACCTCCCAAGGAGTACGAGGACTAAAGAAGTCACTGGCCTAGCCCTCCAGCAGTAATGGAACAGTAAGTGATCATGTGTTATCTACCAGATTAAGGTTGAGATCCTGTCCTCAATCTAAGTTTTTCTAGAGTTAATGGGTAGGCTGTGATGGAACAGCTCATGTTCACAGTCCCACTTCAATAGACTCTATGAACATTGGCTGGAGATAGAAGCCTCCCAGAAGCCATCAGGAAGTGAAAGTTCAAGACTCGAGCTCCACCAATGACCCTTGGATGTCAGCAAGTTGTACCAACACACACGCTGCATTTCTTAATGCAAGACCAAGCAAGCGCACGCACACTCGTGCAGCAGAGCTCTCAATAGATTTGCAGATTTGATTATTTGTATCTATTTAGTGCCAGTATTGTTTTCGCAACTATAAACCTAGTAACCTAAGTACAAAAATGAAGAGCAGGCAGTCAATTTTCACCTAAAGCTACACTGGAAATTGTGAAAGTGTTATTGCAAGACAGCCACCTCGAGCCATTTAAAATGAGCCTCGTACATTTCTTCCTACCCCTTTCTCAGTGACAGGATAACAAACTGTTTACAGGTAATCTCATCAGAGAAGAGATTGTCAGATATTGGCACCCCTGCCGGTAAAGAACCCAGACAATAAACCACACAGACTCCAGGAAAGGCTGCTGTAGCAGAAGAGATCACTGCCACTGTGTTGAGATGAGCAAGAGTCAGAGACTTGAGCCTAAAGGGTGATGTTGAGCCTAGGTGAATTTAGCACATTAAGACAACATTCCAGGTTCTGGCTTAGTAAAACTACACCATGGATAATTCAGAACACAAATTGGCTCCATGAGTTTCAAACACACACATTCAGGTCCAGAACATACACTCATAGAAAACCGCACAGACTGAGGGTTTCCACGTGGAATTTCTTTTGAATTCTTCTGTTTGGGGGGAAAGGCGTTGGATAGCCACACATGGCTAGTGTTGTCACACCTCCAGATTATAGACCAGGCTATAGACACAGTGGCCTTCTGCCTCAACACTGGCTCCTCAACAACACTCTGACAGGACTTCTAGCAGACACTTCCTGTGGACCAATCCTGAAAGCAGAGTCCAAAATCGCAAAGAACTTTAAATAATTGAAAACTAAGATACCAAGAAAGTTTCTCACTTCTACACTGGTGTCCATCTGCAAAGTCTTACCAACTACCCCTAGAGTGGTAAGTAGCTGCCGAAGGGATGCCAAACACTGTAGTAGTCAAAGTAGAATCCAGATAATCTGAACCACATAAGTAAAAACAAATACAGCTAGATAGTCGGGAGTCGCAAACCGTTAGTTGTGGAGTCCCAACTCTCTGAACAAAAGCCCTGCAAATCCACGGATATCTATTTTATATCCACAGACCATTTTTGTGGATCGCGGATTAGATGTGGATACAAATTTTGTATCCGTGCTGGGCTCTATCCACAATAGTATGCAAACTGTCACATGACACACCAGCTGGTAATGTTTCTATGCAGGAAGCTACAGATATCCAAAAAGAGATCATGAATAGGTTAAAGTAAGAGTTTTTTCCCATATGGCTCAAGGAGTCTAGCCATGACAAACTGTTGCACACACTTGGACCAGAAATCCTGGCAGCAGCAGTACAGTCTGACTGGGTTTGGCAGGCTTACCTTGGCTGCTAGGACTTTGGTTGCTCCCCACATACGTGCGCCGAGACTCACGGGTTTGTTCTGAAGTCTTGGTAGCCAACACAATGGCTTGTCAGTCATGAAGAAAATTTTAGGCAACTAGGGAGCAGCTTCTGAAGAGGGCTCTACATTCCCACTAGACAGATGAAAGGGTTCTGTTACACAACAAAGGCAAGTGGAGCATTCACAAGCAGGCTGTTAAGCATATATTGTGTAGAGTAGGATAAGGAGAACAGTCCTCTTTACACACTAGAAAGGATGGCCCTAGATGAGGGAACTGGCTAGCGGCTAAACTAAAACCAGAGAGAAGAACAAATTCATTTAAAGACTATTTGGGCTAGAGCAGTGGTTCTCAACTGTGGTCCACCGCTTGTTCAGGGAAAGCCTCTGGCACACCGGGCCGGCTCGTTTACCTGCCACGTCCACAGGTTCGGCTGATCGCGGCTCCCACTGGCCACGGTTCGCTGCTCCAGGCCAATAGGGGCTGCAGAAAGTGGCGCGGGCCAAGGGATGTGCAGGCCGCCCTTCCCGCAGCCCCCATTGGCTTGGAGCAGTGAACCATGGCCAGTGGGAGCCGCAATCGGCCGAACCTGTGGACGTGGCCGGCAAACAAACCGGCCCGGCGCACCAGGGGCTTTCCCTGCACAAGCGGTGGACCAGAGTTGAGAACCACTGGGCTAGAGAATAGTCAACTCAATATAGACAGTTCTGAGGGAACTATCCACTAAAATGTATTGAAGACAAATTGTTCACCAAAAGGTATGAGAGAAAGAGACACTGTCATTTTGAATTACTTCACGTTTTTTAGTCAAAGAAAAGAGAAAAAAGTTTCTAGTAAGCACCCTTTAAGAATAGTAGGCCCTGAATTCCCTTTTTAAAAACCACCATTAGGGGATTTCTGCTCCTCCACTGTTTGGAGTGGACAGGCCCAAGACCATGACCTAACTGCTAGTGCATGAGACAGGAAGTGACCAACACCACAGTGAAAGTGATACTAAAAGGTTGTGTCAAACACACAAAGTGAACCAGAAACAGAGATAATCCCTTCCACTAACTTTTTCAGTTTTAGTAGTCACGTGTGTTACTTGCAACTAGAATAGGTAAAAGTTTTCACTCAGGAATAAGTAATAATATGATTTAAGTTAGTGTCCTTTTAAAGGGTAGGACAATAGCATGGGAACTTGGGGTTGGGGAAATGGGGAGACCAATATTGCTTACACGGTACAGTGCATTTAATCTCAATGGGCACTACAAACATTGATTAATTAAGCCACAACACTCAGAATTAGGCACATAATTTATTCATCTATAAAAGGGATAAATTGAGCACAGAGAATTTAAATAACCATGCTTATTCATTAAGCAAGTGACAGAGCTGAGAATGCAACTCAAGAGTCCTGATTCTGTGTCTACATCTCTAGTCATTAAGCAAAACTACTTCCTGCCCAGGACAGAGAAGAGAATTTTAAGTGGTCTTTTGGCAGTGGGACAGAGGTGGATTACCTATTACGTAGTCCTGCCTTGAGCGCAGGGGACTGGATTAGATGACCTCTTGAAGTCCCTTCCAGTCCTACACTTCTATGATTCTAGATCATGGAGTTCATGATCAATTCCACTTTTATTTATCGACTTTTCTCTGTGTGTGAAACACACGCATGAAGTTTCAGAGCATCCACAGGGACACAAAAGTACATAAACACCACCACAATGGTCCCTCCTAGCCTTGGAATCTATGAATCGTCCCTACTCAAAAAACTTGTACAGATTTTGCTAGACTGAATTATAACCAGGGGGAATAACCTAAAGAAAAAAGGCAGGGCTGAAGGCTCTCTGAGGTTCACTCAGGCATTGTTTCTAAAGTCCAGGCATAGAAGAACAACAGAAACATACTGCTCCGATTTCTTTTTCAAGATACAATAACCCAATTCTTCATCCTGATAATGCAAGGGCAAAATGTCACAAGTTACAATATTAGGAAAGCAGGTGTGTAATGAGCTCTTGAGCTGAAAAAACTGGGACACTCCCTATTCCCAGGGGGATGCTCTAGTGTCAAACTACTCCCATCCAGGATATTTTGTGCTAATAGATCATTCTACTCCATTAATTCTTGGAATACTGCAGACAATGAGATCAGTTGTGTGGGGGTTGATCTGTTTTCTCTGGCAGAGAATATCCAATCCTTTCAATCTTACCAGCCAAGTGGAGTGTCCATCATTCCTTGTTCGGTCTAAACCAAATTCCACCTAAGGAAAACACATTAAGAAGTCACTGTCACTCTAATGCAAACTACAGATACTCCAACCCCAAATATCAAGTAGCCACCCAGACAATCAGATATTATACACATCTAACTTAATTAATTTTATAGCAATACCAAAGTATTTGCCAAGTTATATAAATTGATATGGTGATTTTTCAGCCATCCCAATTTGAAACTTCATACTTCATCTCTCTCAACTGAAAAAAGGAAAGAAAAGACAAAAAAAAAAAGGATGTTGAGTCAGTGTTTTATAACTTTAAACTAGCCTTCAATTCAGACCAATAGGTTTTAAAGGAGACACACTCAACTACAGCAAGCCCTGCAGTGAGCCAACTACAGTGAGCCAACAACTCTTTCAGCTGCCTGAAATAAGTTCTAGAATGATGCTAGTCAGGTTTCAGTCTATTGTGACCTCATTACTCACTGCTTCTCCAGTAAATAGATGTCAACATCATATTTAAAGAAACATAGAAGTCTAATAAAGGCAGAAAAGAATACAGTGTTTTATAACCAGCATTTCACCTTTAACAAAGTTATACCATATTTTGTCCACTGTCATTTTAAAAAATGTGACAGTTCCCTAGATATTAATCTACACAGCATACGAGTCACTACAGAATGCAGATGCAGCCACTGTTTCCATTGTGAACCTATCAGCCTAGTGCAGCAAATAATTATGCTTTGTAATGTGCTTGAGAGGAACAGTAACAGTGCAGAGGACCATTACAAAATCCATAGTGGAGGACTGTTTAGGAAGCAATCTGAGATCACCACTTCCCAACGTAATCATTGCAGAGCAGACAATTTAGAGATTCTCCGTAAGGAGAGAGGATGCTACAGTAGCTTACCCAGATCCATGCAAAACAACACTGGAGGCACCTAAACTGCAAGAGAACTGTAACTGCCAGCAGTGAGGAAAAAAGCTAATAGCTGTACAACTTAAGAAGCAACCCCAGCTCAAAGGGTCACAGTATTCAGCTCAAAGAATTTTACAGGAAGCGTGAATATAGGCTTTCACACAGAGCTCGATAAGGCACCAGTAGTCTGACCATTCTCTTTTCCTAAAGAAAGTGTGTCTTTCTCTGCTCCTGTACTGCTGTATATAGTGAGAGATTATTTTATAATAGGATAAGAAGGGCAGGAGCTTCCTTTCTCTCAATACTTGTTACGTTCCATGACTGTTCATGGAAGATCTCAATGAGTATACAAAGTCACTTACTGCTGAGCTGCTCTTGTCATCAAGGCTCCAAGGTCCCTTCATTGAAAGGTTGCTGACACTGACCATCATGAACTCATTCTTGAAGCAGCCAAAGGTGCCAAGGTGAACTTTCTGCCTCACATCATCCTGGAAGAGATTTAACAGACAATTGTTATAATAGTTACAAAGGCAGGTGTCTGCCAATTAAAGAATTGGGCGTGGGGGGGAGAAGAGAGGGAAGACAGTGACATTTAACTTTAGGGAAGTTGTTATTGAAAACAGACTCTGGGTAAACTGCAATGAGCCAAATGTAAGTCAGTTTTGGGCATCCTTCAGAATACAACCAACTGCTTCATGAGACATGGTCAAATACAACTTCTCAAATCATCTGAATGCCACGATATTTTTCAAATACATTAAAGAATTTCTCTTCAGTATTTCCCTGCTGTATTCATGATAAAGATGCAAATGAAGGCTATTGTCTTGGCTCCACTGCCTAGTGTAATATCGCAACACAAAATAAAGTTGTAGGGGGATCAAGACAGTCAGTCACTGTTTCAATACTGGTTGCTTTTCTAGAAAGCAGCTGTTGTGGCGAACTAGAAAGGACTTAGCTGATTCAAATACATTTCCCTGGCCCAAGCCCAGCTCTCATTTGGGTGTGTTATAAATACCACATTATACTGTGATCCTGTCAAATCTCACATGTTAAGCAAGGTCAAGCTGGATCAATGCTTAGATGATCCGACAAAAATCTAAGGTGCTGGAGGAGTGGAGTAGGTAGTTCAATAGGTGGCCATTTTCCCTTCTAGAACTCAATGAAGGCCTCATCTTATAGCTAATGGACACTCATCTGAGAATACCATCTTTTCGGTGAGACAAAATGAGATACTTGGTATCTGTGGTCATGAAGATTTCCATTGCACTTCAAGAACATTTGTATTAATTCCACCAATAGCATAGTTCCACTTCAAGTAATTACATTCTGGGTACACAAAATCCCCTTGGAATTTTAGCTGTGGTGTTCTCCACCTCCTGACTTAAATTACAAGAGTAACTGTTTCAGCAGTGGAGGAAGTGATCCCCTTTTTCCCTTGCTGATTTAACGAAGGTAAGAAGGCTTAATCAGGTAAGGCTTTTAAAGCACACCATGATATTCAGATGAAAGGCAATTAACATTAAAGTGTTATGCTCAGGGATGCCACAGCATGGAGTACGAAGGTCAGAACCCTACTATTTTGCATTGGTACACCTAGAATTCTGCATCGTCTGAGGCATCTCCCTCCTTGAAAAATCAACAACTGGAGGACAGTCAGAGCAGAGAAACAAGAACAGACTAATTTAAGAGGAAAATTTGAAGCATGTATTGTTTGTCCAATTTTTAAATAAGAAATTGACAGGTGTATGAAGGGCATGAGGATTAAAGATGAAGATATTCGCCTCCACCCCCAGGAATAATGGGTTGAAAAGGAGCAAAGAAAAAATGTAGGCTGAATTCCATCAGTTTAATAGCAAAGGTGTATTAGATAGTAGAATACTCCTGAAACCCTCATTGCTCAGGCAAACTAAAGCTAGCCTGGACAAGGCATTGGAGAACTGAGCAGGGGATCCACAAAGCACAATAACCGGTTCTCTTCTCTGACCCCATCTCTGATTTCTATTAAACTTGTTTGAGATCCAATTTAAAATACTCCCTTATGCATAATTATCACATACATATATGCACACTAGTTCTAATAAGAGGTAACCCCATTATTAGGCTAACTTTGTGAATAACAAGATGGTCCCCTTCAGTCCTCTGAAGGAAAGATACTAATGGCACATTTTCACAGTTCATTCTTTGTTTAACAGATTATTTTAGTGTGTTTTCTCTTTGGCTTCTGGGTCATACTTGTGCACTTTAAACAAGAATCTATCTGGTTCATCTGCTACTACTCTCCACATAATGATTATTAATCCAAAACAGGAAACCTATACTGTTTAGATAATATACAGCCAGATATGGTTTACCCACGCTTGGTATAAGCACCAGTCTGGATAAGGGGGGAATGAGTGTGGAGAAGAGACAGGACACTTCAATGATATCTAATCTTCTATCTTGTACAGAGTGTGTATAGTTTAACTTGCAAACAGAATCATTTGCTTGTAGCCCAAGAATGAATGATGTTTGGAAAATAAATTTAACTTAAACTATACTTAATCAGCAATGTTTCATTAACATGCATACCCCCTCACAAAAAGATGGTCAAAAAAGTTTAATACATTACAGCCAAAATATTTTTGCTCCGACTTTTACCCAGCTTTAAATAATTGCACAGTTTATAGATCCATGAGACAGATTTTCATCTTTTGAAGAGACGGCACATTTGGTCATTAATTTCTAATAAGAAAAACTACAAGCTTGGAGAGCACCCATGAACATACCAGATCAGCAGTTTAAAGATTATAAGTTGTTAATACTTATCTTGCCTCCCACTAGTAAGATTCTTAAGACTCAAACAAATTTTGCTTTCATTTCAAAAGTGGGGTTGCAGAAGTATAAACAAGAGCAGAATTTGGTCCTTATATCTGCAATAAAAGAGGAGACTTGTACGTTGCAGACTGTTTAATTCCAGACAAAATAAGAAGTTATGTTGACCTGTGACAAGGGATATGGACAACTGAGGTATCACCAAACATACATAATTGTAACTCATACATGAAGTACTTGCAGAAAAGCTGTAAAATGGATTTTGGAAGGTTATCCCACATGAGTAATGGAAATCTGAGATTGTTTAGAGAAAGTCTCCAATATAATAATAATTTATTAAAATGTTAGCATCTTAAAACTAATTAAACAGGAAGCTACTAACCAGACAACATGATGTAAAACAGAACAGAATATTTTCTCCCTTGGGAGTTAGTAAATTGAAGAGTTGCTGTAAGGTAAGATATATTTGTTCATTTAACGACTATTTAAGAAACTCTTAATACAACAATATAGAATTTCTGTATAATTTTGTTAGCAGGAAAGCTTCCAGTGATTTCAGAGGGGAGACCAATTATTTTAGCCTTACTCTTCATCAAAGTTGATCACTTGCTGACAAGTATATAGATGGGACCTTTACAACAGGTTTTTCCCATACCATGAAACAATTTGAACAAATTTAAGGTCCCAGTGTTGTGCCAGACACCTAAAAAACAGTTTTAAGGACTTGTCAAAAGCTAGTGGATTTTTGTCATGTTAAAAAAAATAAATTAAAAAAGTGATGCCTTGTCCACACAGGGCAATACCACTGTACAAGCTGAAGTCATTTAAAAGCTAATAATGAAAAGTGTTTCATAGTACAGGAAGATCAGAAGTGCAGATAAGGCCTGAGGGAGCTCCATGAAGACATCACCATCTTTTTAATTAAAGGAAATGCTGAAAGTTATTCTGGGACAGCTTTGAAAATTCTTTCCATGTGTGTATTGTTGTTGTTTTAAGTTCAGACTCCCACTCCCCCCCCCCCCGCCAAGTTTCTAACCTTCTCTGAAACATTCTGCACAAAATATTAAAATTGCAGACAGCATGCACTCCCAAGGAGAGAGTTTCCCCAAGTGAATCTTACTTGTATGGACTACCCTTTAAATGGCAAAACATTTCTTTGTATCTTCAAAGAGAAAAGATACTTCATAAATAAACTTATAAAAATGACCCTCATGCTGAAGGATGAGAAACAAAATAATCTCTCTCTAAAAGCAAACAAAAAAGTTATAAACAGAAGGAACACTCTTTGCTCCAGTGTGTTAACTATTGTGACATCACAAGTACGTGGGTTCTTTTAACCAACTCTGCTGTCAGCAGTTTGTTTCAGGAAGCGTAATGTTAAATATTCACTCACGAGGTGTGGCCTTTAATTTGGCAAACAGATCTGGTGCAGGTTTCAGAGGAACAGCCGTGTTAGTCTGTATTCGCAAAAAGAAAAGGAGTACTTGTGGCACCTTAGAGACTAACCAATTTATTTGAGCATGAGCTTTCGTGAGCTACAGCTCACTTCATCAGATGTTTACCGTGGAAACTGCAGCAGACTTTATATACACACAGAGAATATGAAACAATACCTCCTCCCACCCCACTGTCCTGCTGGTAATAGCTTATCTAAAGTGATCAACAGGTGGGCCATTTCCAGCACAAATTCAGGTTTTCTCACCCTCCACCCCCCACACAAATTCACTCTCCTGCTGGTGCTAGCCCATCCAAAGTGACAACTCTTTACATAATCAAGTAGGGCTATTTCCTGCATAGATCAAGGTTTTCTCACATCCCCCCCACCCCCATACACACACAAACTCACTCTCCTGCTGGTAATAGCTCATCTAAACTGACCACTCTCCAAGTTTAAATCCAAGTTAAACCAGAACATCTGGGGGGGGGGGGGTAGGAAAAAACAAGAAGAAACAGGCTACCTTGCATAATGACTTAGCCACTCCCAGTCTCTATTTAAGCCTAAATTAATAGTATCCAATTTGCAAATGAATTCCAATTCAGCAGTTTCTCGCTGGAGTCTGGATTTGAAGTTTTTTTGTTTTAAGATAGCGACCTTCATGTCTGTGATTGCGTGACCAGAGAGATTGAAGTGTTCTCCGACTGGTTTATGAATGTTATAATTCTTGACATCTGATTTGTGTCCATTTATTCTTTTACGTAGAGACTGTCCAGTTTGACCAATGTACATGGCAGAGGGGCATGTTAGTTACAAGTGAAGAGCCAGTAGCAGAAACATTTTACAAGGGATTTCTCGTGATACAGTTAACGTATGAGCTAGGTGTTTGATTAAAAGTTGGAAGCCACAATGTAAAAGTGGAGATGCTGCACTTCCAGCATGCATTTTGTCAAATCCCTATATAAACACTGTAAGCTTGATTTTTAAGCACCTTTCTTTTCCTTCAATGGGAAGTCATTGTCAGTTCTCACAACATTCCTGTGAGGTTATATCAGTATTCCATTTTACTGTTCGGGAAACAGGCAGAGAGGATAAGTGACTTACCCAGAGACAGTGAGTCAGTGCCTAGGTAAGAACTGTTTTCAGAGTAGCAGCCGTGTTAGTCTGTATCTACAAAAAGAACAGGAGTACTTGTGGCACCTTAGCGACTAACAAATTTATTTGAACATAAGCTTTCGTGGGCTACAGCTCACTTTATCGGGCTGTAGCCCACAAAACCTTATGCTCAAATAAATATGTTAGTCTCTAAGGTGCCACAAGTACTCCTGTTCTTTTTTAGGTAAGAACTATAACTCTTAACATCAGCCTCCCACAAAGCCTGCTGCCTTAAAATAATAGTTTTCAGAGTAGCAGCCGTTAAATCTCCCCACTGTATTTTCTAGTGAATGCACCCGATGAAGTGAGCTGTAGCTCACTAAAGCTTATGCTCAAATAAATGTGTTAGTCTCTAAGGTGCCACAAGTACTCCTTTTTAAAAAATAATAGTGTACTTGATAGCATGGGGATTGGCTTTGGAGTGATTCACTCCCTCCAGCCCCCCTTTAAATATAAGAACATTCTTACTGCTGCAAATACTTTAAGGGTGATTAGTGTGCATTTAACTAAGAATTTCCTATCTTTTGGGTTGTAAACTCTCACTCTTAGTTTTAATTAGTTTTCCCTGTTCTAAAGATCACATGATGCCTGTGTAATAACACAAAATTTGAAATAAGCTCATTTGTGTTATAGAAGCAAATACTTTATTTTCATTGCACTACTGAGGACATAATGCCATATCACCCAGCATTTTGAGATGCTGGGCTTGGAATGAGATGAGGGGGCACAGCCAACAGCTATTAGGATAACTACTGGCCAGGGGTCAGTTTGAAAGTCTGGGAAGTGAGGAAGAGAACAACAGACATCCAGGAGAAACTGGTCTAGTGCTTGGTTGCTGCTCACAGCTTTCTGAAGACAGGAGTCTTCTGGATTTACGGCTTTCAGACGGGTAGTACAACTAACCAGTGTCTTGTCAGTTTAACTCTACTGCTGCTTGAGAAGCCTGTGAGCATGAGCACAGGCAACAATGCTCAGGAAGGCAATAATGCAATTGCTTAAAATGCTAAACATTTGTAAGAAACTTTTAAAAATTCAAGTTCAAGCCCTGCAGAAAATTATGACTTAGTTTCCTTTTATCACTAAGGAAAGCTTTCTACTTGCCAAGGGCCAGTGAGTTTTTCAAGCCTTCATGTAAGAGATTTGTTATGGTTACTGACAGATGGCCCTTCAATAGTTGCATTTTGGATAACACAACATTCAGGTATTTGCGTACTAAAAGAACTTCAGCAGGCATGCCACAAGGTGAGGGAGGCCAATAACAAACCTGGAGCCACCCTCAGTGATCTGTTGCTTCTACAACAAACTGCAAGCCATACTTGACGTGGACAGCACCCTGCATTCTACTGTGGACACTCTGCAGGAGCCTCATGCCAAAACCCCTGCAGTGCACAGCAAGGAGGAGAAATCCCCTCTCTCAGGGGCAGACGCAGACCATGCAGCGAGTCAGGAGCTGTTGGAAACTCCACTGGAGTCAAACCATTCCTGCCAGGTGAGCACAGATGAGCCCACTGATGAAGGGAAAGGGAGCATGGGTAAGTGCGTACATGCATTATTCCTTATAAGCATTTCTTACCTTTTTGTTACCCGAAGCCTCCTTTCCCTACTCCCATTTAAAAAAAAATGGCTCCACAAGTTAAGAGAACAAAGACATTGATTTTTGATTGCTCATGATACTTGCACAATGTTAGCAAATAAATTTGAAAAGAATAGTATTGTAGTCCAAATTACACAATCCCCCATCACATCAGCGTCCTGTGCTTGGATAGGGGCAAAAGGCAGAGGTAGAGGGAGAGTCTGCTTTTCCATTTTTTGGCATGGTGGGTGAGGCAAGCAGAATCATGCAGAGTATATTGTTTATCAGAGTGGAGATGTCCTTTTTATCCTCTTGTGCAATCTTGATCAGAGTTTCACACAGATACTGTGCAGCCTCTCCCAAACATTTCTAGGGATGGCAGTCTCAACAACAGGAGACTCTCTCACACTGCTCTGTGACGAGTCTCACGCCACTCTGCAATGAGTTCCACTGGCATCATAGCTATGAACTGGCTAGAAGCTTACAGGCCCAGTTGGCTTCAGGATGGTAGTAACAGACAGGTTCTCTGTGCCTTTGTCACCCTCAGGAGTGAGATAACAGCCAAAAACCACCACTGCCTGTGAAAACATTGGCAATATTCACTGCATTTTCCCTATACTCATGCCCAGGGGCACCCAGGTTTTTAAACCTTTCATGCAACAGACCCCCACCACCATATCCCACTCGACAGGCTGTATTCACCCTGGCTTGAGCTGCAGGGCGGTGCTCCAAAGCTAAACTGGCAATTAGCATTTCTTATTAAAAAGGTATTTATGAGTTTTTCTCTGTGGTGACTGTAAGTCTGTTTTAATCAGCAGCCTCTGGCATGGTGGCCTTGAGAGGTGTCCCCTCCACACTCTGCTCAGGTGAAGAAAGAAGCAGAGCAGGGAGGATATATTCTGTGAAAAGAAAAGGAGTACTTGTGGCACCTTAGAGACTAACAAATTATCTGAGCATAAGCTTTCGTGAGCTACAGCTCACTTCATCGGATGCATACTGTGGAAAATACAGAAGATGTTTTTATACACACAGACCATGAAAAAATGGGTGTTTATCACTACAAAAGGTTTTCTCTCCCCCCACCCCACTCTCCTGTTGGTAATAGCTTATCTAAAGTGATCACTATTTGTGCTGGAAATGGCCCACCTTGATTATCATGAGCTGTAGCTCACGAAAGCTTATGCTCAAATAAATTGGTTAGTCTCTAAGGTGCCACAAGTACTCCTTTTCTTATTGTAAGGAGAGTGATCACTTTAGATAAGCTATTACCAACAGGAGAGTGGGGTGGGGGGAGAGAAAACCTTTTGTAGTGATAAACACCCATTTTTTCATGGTCTGTGTGTACTAAAAATATCTTCTGTATTTTCCACAGTATGCATCCGATGCAGTGAGCTGTAGCTCACGAAAGCTTATGCTCAAATAAATTGGTTAGTCTCTAAGGTGCCACAAGTACTCCTTTTCTTTTTGCAAATACAGATTAACACGGCTGTTACTCTGAAACCTATATTCTGTGAGATCATCCAGTCCTCTACAGCTGCTGACCATGAAAACAGGGCTTGGAGGAGCCAAGGATTCAAGGCCATGGAGAAGGACCAAGTCTGGGCAGAACAGCTGCCGCAGAAGAGGCACAGGGACCAAGAGATACATCAGAAAGTGCAATGGGACATCATGGTTTGCTCAGGCAATAGACTCAGATGTTGCTGCATGCCCAAAAACCCTGGACGCAGCAGCCTTTCCAATCCATGGAAATCTTCACAGTCACTGCTCCCTATTCCCCCAGCGATAACAAGCAGCAGCATGGTGTGAACCTTTACCTCTGCCCATTCCATGCCATGGAAAACAAAGAACCACAGCTACACCCACACTCATCTGTGAAAACCATAGGATCGGTCACAATACACTACGTTTTGTAACGGGACTGAAACCCTCAGATAGGTTTTTAAAAACCATTTTTTTTTAAAAAAAAAACCTTGGGTCTTCAAGTATAGGTCACCCTCTTACAGTGTTGCTAAAGTGTTTTTACTTGCTTCTCCACTGTCAATGACGTTCTCAATTCTAGTGTCCTTCCGCTAGAGGTCTAGGGAACACTCGGTACACAGATCCAGGAACGTGGCCTTTCACATCCAAAAGTTCAACAGCCACTGTCATCCCAAACCTCCATTATGATGCAATCCCACCAAGCAATGCTTGTATCTCGGGCCCAGCAGTCATGATTCACCACGTGGAGCTGTTTTGTGAATGCCAGCAGCAATCTGGAATTTTTATTTGCTGTGTCCATCAACATCTACTCATTGCTGAACATCTCTTCGTCCGCCTCACACTTTAAAATGCTTTAAAAATGGCCCCTATAGTATGGTGAAAGTATCACTGTAGAAACTTGACCCCTAGTTCTCAGAAATCCTTGGGCAAATTCCTGGTATCCCACAAAGCACTGTCAAATATCCCACTAGGTATTGCACTAGAAGTGGCATGGGGCACAGACTGCCTACCCATGAGTGCACCACTTTTTCCACCTGTGCAGACACTCATGGTGAACATGCACAGAGCCCAAGCGATAGTCAAACATTGGCAGCTGTACGCCGATGTAACTTATCTTGACTGAACTTTGTAGCATAGATGTGGCCTGCATACAAATAACTATAGTGCTGAGACCTAGTCCTCTCCTACTAGCATGCACTCTCCACACCTCAAGTAAAGTTCTGCAGCCTTCCCCAACGTAACTAGAAGCAGTGAGTAGGGCAAGGCTTGCTGCCAATACCACTTACTTTGGCATGTTCTGGGGCTTCCCACTAACAAAAAAAGAGAATGCAACTTATAGCATTTTAAGGTGCAAATAGTTCCTTTCATTCTGATGATTCCTAGAGCACTTTACAAAGTATACAGAACCAGTGAGGAGCAGTCATCTCTAGGGTGGAGGGCAACCACAATCTAGACCATAGTGGGAAGTGAGGAAATTTTGATCAAAAAATGCTAGAAGCAAGCCTCTTCTCCTTTGAGAAGAATCACTGGATACAATATCCACACTGCTCAGATGTCAGAGTAGCAGTCGTGTTAGTCTGTATTCGCAAAAAGAAAAGGAGTACTTGTGGCACCTTAGAGACTAACAAATTATCTGAGCATAAGCTTTCGTGAGCTACAGCTCACTTCATCGGATGCTCAGATGGGTTGTTAGTCTTTGCATCTTTCATGCAAGTCCTTAAAATAAAGATGCAAAGACTAACAACCCATCTGAGCATCCGATGAAGTGAGCTGTAGCTCACGAAAGCTTATGCTCAGATAATTTGTTAGTCTCTAAGGTGCCACAAGTACTCCTTTTCTTTTCGCCAATACAGACTAACACGGCTGTTACTCTGAAACCTGTCGTTAAGTAAACAGTGGATCATAAGGCTTATATGCATTTTCTACTTTATGGTTTCATAGACAAGGAGGCATTGCTGGACACCAGCAAGGAGAAGACAGTGAAAATATCAAGGATCCAGCAGCAGAAAAGTAGCAACACAAGTTGATCAATCATAAAACAAGAAGATTCAGCTAAACTTACTAAAAGTTCTACAGACTTTCCATAGTCTTTGTTTTTAAGAGACTTGTAGTATAATAAAACTTATCAATATAGCATCAAAAAATATGCTAGACGCTTTAGAGCAGGGGTTCTCAAACTTCATTGCACCCAGACCCACTTCTGACAACAAAAAGTACCAGAGGAGTAGCTGTGTTAGTCTGTATTCACAAAAACAAGGAGGAGTCTGGTGGCACCTTAAAGACTAACAGATTTATTTGGGCATAAGCTCTGGTGAGTAAAAAACCCACTTCTTCAGATGGATGGAGTGAAAATTACAGATGCAGGCATAAATATATTGGTATATGAAGAAAAGGGAGTTACCTTAAAAGTGGAGATCCAGGGTTGACAAGGCCAATTCAGTCAGGGTGGACGTGGTCCACTCCCAGTAACTGACGACCCCAGTGAGGGGGGACAGAAGCCTGAGCCCCCCAAACCCCATTGCCCTGGGAGGGAGAGAGGGGGGCAAAGCCCCAGGGCTTCAGCACTAGGTAGGGGGACTGTTACCCAAACCCCGCTACCCTTAGGCTTCAGCCTTGGGCGGTGGGGCTCGGGCTTCGGCCCCATACCTCAGCAAGTCTAAGCCAGCCCTGGCGACCCCATTATAATGGGGTCCCGACCCACACTTTGAGAAGAGCTGCTTTAGAGGCGTGCAGGGCAGCTTCGGAGGGAAGCCAACGCGCCAGCGGGGGGGGGGGGGTTGAACAGGGGGCCCAGGCCGGCGGGGGCCCAAGAGGAAAACAGGGAAAGAGCCCAGAGGAAGGGGCCGGACCCAGAGAAAGGGGGGACGAGGGCTGGGCCCACACAGAGACGACAGCGCCCCGGGGAGCCAGCGGGGAAGAGGGCCGGGGCTGAGCGCGCCCAGCTCCCCCACCCAGATCTTACCTGCAGGCCGAGGCGACGCACGCGACTCGCTCCCAGCCACAGCAGCGCCCCAGGGCCAGCGCCTTCCCCACCGCACAGCCGCGGCCCCGGGCGGCCATCTTCGGCCTGGCGTCACTTCCGGCCCCGGGGTCAAAAGGGGAGGTCATGTGCTTGGGGGTGGCCGTGCTGAGGTCAAAGAGGGGAGCCGGCGGCTGGGGAGGAGAGAGCGAAGGGGGGTGGGGGAGTGAGTTGGGGGGACCGGGGAGCGGTTGGGCGCGGGGCGGACGAGGGGGCGGTTGAGGGGCTGGGGGTGAACGAGGGGGTGGGCGGTGAACGACGAGGCGGGGGAGGGGGTCTGGGGGATGAACAAGGGGGCGGGGGAGAGAGGTTGGGGTCTGGGGTGAACGCGGGGGCGGGGGAGTGGGGGGTGAACGCGGGGGCGGGGGAGTGAGGCTGAGGGGGGTTGGGGGTGAACGCGGGGGAGTGGGGCTGAGGGGGTGAACGAGGGGGCGGGGGAGTGGGGCTGAGGGGGGTTGGGGGTGAACGGGGGGTGGGGGAGTGAGGCTGAGGGGGGTTGGGGGGGAGGTTGGGGGGGTGAACGAGGGGGCGGGGGAGTGGGGCTGAGGGGGTGAACGAGTGGGCGGGGGAGTGAGGTTGGGGGGGCCTGGGGAGTGCGGTTGAAAGACTTGAATGGACAGATGTATAGAGTGTGGAAAGCCTGAACGTGGGAGTGAGGTGGAGAGAAAGGTGGGAAACTAGGCTAGGAGGGAGGGACTGCCAGAAAAAGGGGAGTTTTTTCCTCTCTCAAACCGTTACTGTACTGTTCCTACGTTAATAATTTCCCACCTGGGGGGACATTCCTGCCCACTTCTCAATGTATTTCAACGAGGGTTGAATGATCTGATGCTGACTTCAGTGTGGTATGGTGTTTGCCTCTGTCAGAAGCTTTCAGGACCTTTGTGTGGTGTCTACTCTGTTTCCTCTAGAAATTTAACACCAAACCTCTTGGCTTTTCACACTTCATTTACTAAGGATTTCTGCTCTTACCTTTATTTTTTTAAACACACAGTCCCTACCCCTCCCCTCCCTTAGGATTGGGCATTTGACCAGTCCAAAAATAATTGGTCAATTGACTGGTCAAGCATTGGTCAAATGTCAAAAACTGTCAGTGTTTTAAAGCATTATGTTGTTTAAAAAGTAGGATTTTATGACCTTCAATAGGCTTAACCTTCAGATACTTATTCCCAGTTATAATCTCAGATACATGCAAAACACTATGAAATTAAATTCTAAAAAATGAAAGAATGGCACCACGCTACAGTTTTTTTTTTAAAAAAAAAGGCTGGTGCCTACATCAGGACATTCTTGCTGGTGTATTTGACTGGTCTAACAGGTGATCAGTTGACAAGGCAGTTGACATTATTGGACTGGTCAATTGATCATCTTGCTAAGCCTAACCTCTTTGCAGCTGGACTGATACTGCAGATGGTTTTAGGTCTAGAGACAAAAAAACTCACAGTATTGCACAGTCTACTGCACTTGCAGACGCTAAAAGATTAGAACCCAATAAAGATGCCAGAAAAAAGAATCCCTCTATGTTCAAGAATAGGTGTTAGTGTAACTCTGATCTCAGATGATGTTCGTATCTCTCTTTAGACTTTACGTATCAAACACCTGAAGTAAAGTATATAGTTTTTGTTTTGTTTTTAAACTTTTAACCTAGTTGTGAGTTTTGCATATTTTTTTAGGTGCCTCACTATGAGGATTGATTACAAGAGAGGCTTGACATTTAGGCAGTAAGTATTAAAGTGACACTGTCACTTGAAAATCACTTTTCTGTCTGATCAGTTTGTATCTCTCAGAGTTATAGGTGACACCTAGGATGATTGTCAATTAATAGGATTAAAGATATAAATTACTTTCTCTGCTTTCAGTTTTAATTTGTGCATTTGTTATTACTCTTTGTATAGTTAGTTTCACTGTTTCTCCCTCTATAGGAAGATTCTGTAGCCTATACAGAGCTCATTGCAAGACTAGAAATTTAGTAGGTTTACAGGAGGTCAGACTAGATGATCAAAATGGTTTCTTCTGGCTTTGGAATCTGTGTTTTGCATTTTTTTAAATTAGTCATTGGAAATAAGTATCTCTCTAAAGCTAAACCTGAAAAGACTATTATATGCAACAAAAAGGGAGAAGGAAAACCACCTTGGGTTATTTTTAAAGGAATTTTAAAATTGCTCCTTCAGGAATTGATTTTTTTAAAATTCCTTTAAAATAATACATAAGGGTTTTTCTGCTCCTTTGTTAAGGAGTTTTGGGTTTTTTATAATCTCTTTTAAATTGAAACTGACTACAAACAACATGAAACTAACTTCACTGATTTTCGTTTTCCAAATGGAAAATAATACAAAGAGCATCAGTAGTGAGAATCAAATCGAATGTTTACCTTTTTCACTTGTAATAATCTAAAGCATTGCTAGTAATACTGGTAAAAATAGTTCACAACAATTGTTTTAAAATGTAGAGGGACTCTTTAAAGAATCAAGTTAGGTGTTGCAGTGCCAGCTCTGGAAAGCTGGAGCCTGTTGTCCACACAAGCTGTACAAGGAAGCAGCTGAGCCAGTTTTTCCGTACTGACCCTGAGGAACAATCTCTGGGGAGGGATGAATATAGAAAAAAAATACAGGTTTCAGAGTAGCAGCCGTGTTAGTCTGTCTTCGCAAAAAGAAAAGGAGGACTTGTGGCACCATAGAGACTAACCCAATTTATTTGAGCATGAGCTTTCGTGAGCTACAGCTCACTTCATCGGATGCATTCAGTGGAAAGTGTAGAAGATCTTGTTATATACACACAAAGCATGAAAAAATACCTCCTCCCACCCCACTCTCCTGCTGGTAATAGCTTATCTAAAGTGACCACTCTCCTTACAATGTGTATGATGGTAGCTTATTTCCCCTTGTTTTTTCCTACCCCCCCCCCCCAACAGACGTTCTTGTTAAACCCTGGATTTGTGCTGGAAATGGCCCACCTTGATTATCATACACAATGTAAGGAGAGTGATCACTTTGGATAAGCTATTACCAGCAGGAGAGTGGGTTTGTGGGGGGGTGAGAGAACCTGGATTTGTGCTGGAAATGGCCCAACTTGATTATCATACACATTGTAAGGAGAGTGATCACTTTAGATAAGCTATTACCAGCAGGAGAGTGGGGTAGGAGGAGGTATTTTTTCATGATTTGTGTGTATATAATAAGATCTTCTAAACTTTCCACAGTATGCATCCGATGAAGTGAGCTGTAGCTCACGAAAGCTTATGCTCAAATAAATTGGTTAGTCTCTACGGTGCCAAAAAAAATACAAGAAGCTTCATATGATCTCAGTCTATATAATACTGTGATTGTGCCAGATGGTCATATGCACAGTCAATTCTGATTAATCAGATGTTACTTTTTGTTGACTTGTTATGCTTTTGCTTCCACTTTTTCCAAATTAATTGCTAGGTGATAATGTAAACATGGAAATGCTATTGTAAACAGATCGAACCTGGACTGGCGTCAAACTATTTTCAAACAAACAAAAAACCCTGGGTCATCTTGTAGGGTTATTTCACCCATTGAAAGAAAAGGAGTACTTGTGACACCTTAGAGACTAACAAATTTGGGCAAATTTGCTCAAAGTCTCTAAGGTTTGAGCAAAATAGCTCGCCTTAGCTGATCGCTGTCATTACAGTGTGTATGGTAACACCCATTGTTTCATGTTCTCTGTGTATATAAAATCTCCCCACTGTATTTTCCACTGCACGCATCCGATGAAGTGAGCTGTAGCTCACGAAAGCTTATGCTCAAATAAATTTATTAGTCTCTGCCACAAGTACTCCTTTTCTTTTTGCGGACAGACTAACACGGCTGCTACTCTGAAACCTGTTCACCCATTGAATTACTTTAACTGGCCACTAGATGTCCTTTCAGCATCAGACCTAGTATTGAAAATCTGTTGCCCAGAGTAAATGACTATGAAAGTTCAGGTTTCAGAGTAGCAGCCGTGTTAGTCTGTATTTTCCACTGCATGCATCCGATGAAGTGAGCTGTAGCTCACGAAAGCTTATGCTCAAATAAATTTGTGAGTCTCTAAGGTGCCACAAGTACTCCTTTTCTTTTTATGAAAGTTCAGATTGTCTCTTAAAATATATTCATGGCCCAAACATATTTTCTTGCAACTTAGATTTTTAATTTTTCTGTTGTGAGTTTAGTTCTTATGGAAGGTGCCAGAATGGCAGTCTCACGTGAAACATTGCTTACAATGGTAGCTGCAATGGAAATTTCCATACATCACCTCATTGATAAACCACTGTCCTGATGTAGAGATGCTACATCAATGGATGACTGGGAGCTGTTCATTCTTCATGGTCTTTGTGGTAGGCTCAGTCATTTGTTTCTCGCTGACTCCAAACGAACCTGCTAATGGTGGTGGTGATCTTTTTGTTGTGCTCTAAAAACTAGATGGGGACCACCCATTTATTTCACATAGTCCACCAAACAGCTATTATTTCACTTTCAGTCCCTGCTGACCTGGACCAAATGTGGAGCTATGACCCAGAAATGAAAGTCTGTGTCTCATTCCGTCTCTTGATAGCCAGATCCTTAAATAACTTTTGAAACCATGTCTACAATTAAGGTTGCATCTTACTAATAAGCAGAACTGGCTTGTGTATGTTGAGTGTGCCACATCATAGTCTCATACCGGCATATTTACTGTGATAAATCTTGCTGTAGCTTCTGGACAAGGTGAATTATCTTGCTCTAAATAGGCTATCCCCAGTGGGTACAGCTCCTCTCATCAGTACTTGTTTTTACTGAGCTATGGTTTGTTTTTTTTTTCCTTTTTTTCATGTTCCATTCTCTTTTCATAGTTACCTTTACACCCAGTCAGGAGAGTTTCAGCTGCTGAGATGGGGGCGGTAAGGTTAAGGCTGTTGTTACTGGGAAGCAATTGGGAGAAACTGGCAGATGGGTATGGTCTCAAGAGTTTCTCTTTACAAGGTAAAGTAGGAACACATGTCAAGATAGAAAGGTGTTCCGTAAGCCCCCAGTGTGTAAGAGGTTACAAGGAGAACCCAGGTTCCATACGTATCACATGGGTGA